ATTCATTGACCAAGCTCTTTGTTTTTGAGCTGAGCCTGAAAAACGGATGCAATAAGTTGCATGTTATCCATGGAATTTGCCAAAATACTAGATTCATTAATGTTTCTTGACTTTTCATACTTACTCACTTTTTAATTCATTCTAAACTCAATTGCAGACTACAACATCAACATCTGAACAGAAGTCTCGCCAATGTTTCAACTCCCACTCTTCTTATAACCTTATTCTTCCTGTTTCGCCTCCTGAATTTCAGGTTAGCATATCAGCTATTTTTACCTTTCTTCCCTCCTCTCTTTTTTATTCGCTGCAGTATATCTGTTTTTTTTTTTTTAATTTGCGTTCGCCATTGATTCTGTCAATAGTAGAAAACTTGCTGGAACATCCTTTAAATACATTTCAGTCACCAATTCCATGCTTTTCATTGCAGGTAAGTGATAATCGGAGATTTGTGACGCGGTGCTTGTAATGTTCCACGTCATCATTAGAAGCTTGTGTACTATTGCGAAGCAGTTCTTATCTATGATTGTATCTCATTGAGTCAACTTGGAGTTGCAGACTTCAAACTGAACGAAAGCACTTAAGTAGATTTGACTCTAGCTACATTAATTCTCGAAATGTACTTTCGCTCTAGAACACTTAATATTAGCAAAATGAAGGCGTATATTTTTTTATGAAGCTTTTTAAAAACCATTTAACAAACAGATATAATTACACATAAATTCTTGAACACAGATTAGGCTGGCAGTTCAGGTAAAATGGAATTAGCGCACTGTAGGTAGACGTCTGCGTTCTCAGGACTAATGTGTTAAATGCAGTTTAAGCATGTACACAGTAACGCGTAATGAACTTAGATATTTGAATTATAGCGTAAGAATAGCGATATTGTAGGAGTAAAATTTCTCAGGTGGCTTTGAAAGTATTTTACATTGCTAAAGTAGTTTTCTCTTTAGATTCCAGTGCCTTCGTATTCTCCGCCATCAGTACCTTTGAATCAAGCCCGACAACCATCAGCCACTCGAAATGGCACTCATCGCAGCCCGGAGGATCCAAGTCCTTCGTCTAATAGCATTGGAAGGTATAGCAGCTGCTAGATATAGTTTAAGTGCTTGTTTACCTCTGCAACCTTCAGCCCCAATTCTACTGGATCACCGATCGACACGACTGGTTCAATCAGCGATAGTTTCTATATAAACAGCGATGTGATTTCATCAACAAATGGTGAGCGTATGAGTTTTCTGTGTTGGCGTAATAACATTTTTGAAATTTGATTTTGTGCACTTCCAGCTTACAACAATTGGATTTAAATATGTAGGAACAAATGTTTTGTTCTGCTATCATACCATATATGTTAGTATACAGGTCTATTAGAAACTTTTTAGGGTCTCAGCTTCAGATTGCCGATGATAACGGTTACACTGAATCAGAAGTACAGTCAAAGTATCAACTGCATAGGTAAGAGCTAGGCGATTCTTGTTTTGGCTGCTTGATCGTCAATTTAATCCTTTCAAAAGGTTATATCGCAGTATAGTCGTTAATGTACAGTCGATCAGCTACATGCCAAGCATCTATAAGATGATTCACTGATTACTCGACGTGAACTGCAATGTTTATTGTAACAATCTCGTTGTTTTCAAAACTTATTAGAACATGCAATCACACCTCTTGGCCGAAGGTTTCGAAGGGACACTTTGTTATGTTAATGTGATGCCAATTAAAAAAAAAGATGTCGTATTTTTCAGGATTGAAGAGGAATCGGAAATAATAGAGGAACGAGGAATGCGAACTGTGTTTAGCCAAGGTAGCTTAGACAGAGAGCAGAACTATATGATACCTCGAAGTATCTCAGAACAGGTAACAACGTTTATCTTCGCGAAGCTTCTATCTTCAAAGCAAGTCTCTGAACGTTCCTCAGTTTAAAGCTGTCAGAAATACCCACTGGGTACATTTATCATAACTCTCTTTCTTGCTTTGCTAACTGCAGCCTCAAGAGGAAAGG